AACATGCTTTTAGTCCCGGTGTCCTCATATGAGGACATGTATGAAATCAACCTCCTGTTTCGTAACAGAAAGTCATATTTTGATTTGAAACCCCATAACATTTTCCTGAGATGTTGATTTATGACACACATTTTAAAAATTAGTCAGATTTAAATGATAATTACAAAATATTATCATATCACTAAATAAATGTCAGACATGTTTGAAGAGCAAGGAGAGGGAGTGGTGATGGTGAAACATCAGAACATGTAGTGTCTCTGGAAAGCCCTGAATGTGCTCTGTGCAGGACATCCAGACTTACAACTGTGGCGTGTACAGTCTCAGAGAAATACACTGAAATATAATGTCCTCGTATGAGGCCGCAGGGTCTTAAGAGGTTAAATAACAACAACGATCATAATCACAATTACTATGGATGTATTTAGCTTATTGCAACTGGGCACTGATATGCAGATTGGAAATACACCTTAAACTCCATTAAATGATCAAATAAAAGGCAATAATCATGAAAGGCTGTATAGGTTATGGGAAAAGGTCACAGAAATGCATTGATCAGAGAGTAATCCTTCATAATGCATCATTTCATACAAATGCAGTACTTTTATAAAAGTTCTATTTATGTTTAACACAAAATAATAACATTACCAATAATTGAAATGATTAAAAATGGGTAATTACGTTAAATTACTAATAATAATTATTATTTCCCGAAATAGAACAAACTAAAAAAATAAAAATTCATAAACAAGACCAAAATAATATATACTTTCTTTAATATAAATCATTACTTTAAATAGCTTCTTTTGTCACAATATGGGGGCGCTAAGAACAGCAGTCATTAGCAGCCCCGAGTCTTAAAAATTACGCATCCGAAATCTCTTGATAGCGATTCCGTAACTGCGTCAGAGAGTCCCTTCCGCAGCTATGCCAAACAAAACAGATGCCCTTTTTACATGAGAAGCGTTCTGCCTGAAGATGAGGTTTGAGGACTCGGGCGTCTCAGCGACGGTAACAACACACAGTCATGAGCTCAGACAAAACAGCGATCAGATTCAGTGTGCTACACAATCCTTCGAGTCACTTAATACTGTATGTTCTGATGACACACACTCACACACACACACACACACTCACACACACACACACACACACACACACACACATACTGCAATAGATTATGAGAACACAAATTTTATTTAAACATAATGAATCTTATATGACATTTACCAAATCACAATGCAAATATATTGACAGTTTACAATGCCCAGAGCTTGATGTACATCACCGTTGGCTTTAGCATCCATTACAGTTGTTTAACCATTTAAAATTTAAAATACATCTCACTCTGCTCATCCACATCAGAGATGAGCCCTTAAAAAGGCCTGCACAGACATGTTTGTATGACTAGAATGGACAGTGAGTGACTAATGAAAGCCCTACTTTTATAATGAGATGTTCTATTCTCTATGTATAATACACAATAAACTCACTTCATTTACACTAGCTATTTGATTTATTTCCCTGCAACCGATTTTCTTAAAATGGGGTCATAGAGCTGTTCTCTATTGAGCACCAGGGGGCGGTTACAATGTATTTGGCACCACCATCTCAACGATTTAGGGGGAATATACATTTATTTAAAAAATAAAATAAAATGCACTCATGTGTGAACTAGTACTCGAGAAGCAATGTGCAGTTAAATATGCCATGAGTAAGTATTTCATTAATGCAGTTACCATAGTCAATTTGTGCAAAACCATTCAGTGACCATAACACAACAGCAGTGTGGTCACATATTTCAGTCCGTTCACTCCTTTATTTGAATATTTACACAAACACTGCTTTATATATTGCAAAGGTAAAGCTAGTTTAATCAACCCATCAGAATGTTAAATGTCATGTTCAGAAAATGCTTCCACAAGGCTTTTCACACTGCATTTGACTATTTTTACATTTTAACTTTAGCCTTGATCCAACACATTAACCTCCCTCGTTCTCGTTTATTCCCAGTCCCTGTAAACTATTTATCCACAGCTCCCAACTTGAATAACACTGCTCACATTTAGCCGATTGGTCAGTATGTTGTCAACAAAGTGTTCTCGTTGTGTTCATGGTCTGATTTTCCTTCTGTAATTGCCATGTCTCAACCAAAGCAGTTATGTTACAGCATGAATTACTACACTTTATTAAGAGTTATTTTAATTTCATTGTGAAAGTTTATACACAGCCAGTTTTCTGCAGCCTCATTCACATCTATTTTAATGTTTTACCATTATAGCTGTGATGTGGACGTCCTTATTTTTCTAGAAATATAATGATTAATAAAACTGCATAGTTGTTGTTATTGTTCACGGTGTGAGCTTCCAGTAAGTCTATGTGATTTTTTTCACCTGTTATATGGCCACTAAGTGTAAACTACAACAGGTGGTGCTGTCATCCGCTCTTTTAGTTCAGATGGGTGAAGTACATAAATCTACAGTCTTGCTAATCCTGCAATCCAACATATAGAGTACTGTGTGCATTGAGCATGTTTTTTTTCTTCTTCTCTACAACTGTTTCAATCTCTAGTGAGCTCAAAGTATACTTCAAGTGTACACTAGAGTATGCGTACAGTGAGTGTGTCATAAATGTAATCATCAGCATAGTACAAGCATAGCCAGATTGCACAGGTGGCAATACTCCAATGTTCTCCAATACTAAGTTTTCACATCAAAACTGTTGATACTTTGGGTGTAAGGCCACATCTGAACCAATGGAACTTCATAAGTGACTCATTTGTTGTAGACTTGTTTGTTGTGATACTGAAATAAGCACACAAATGCATGCAGAAATATTGGGTAAAATAGTCAATTTAATTAGACAGATATTTTCCAGTATTGAATGAGATGTATTAGAAGGCAGCATAATGTTGCTGACTATCTTTTGGAACCGCCTTTGTGTCGGGAATGTATCTATTATGCTGTCTAGGTTGGCAGATTACTAGATTTCAGAACAGAGCATATGAGACACGATTATGCTTCTTTGTATATGTAAACTTTTAGAGAATGCATACTACACATCAAAATATTACACAACCATGGGCAAGGTGGCATTTTACAATAGGTTGCATTCATGGTTATTATTACAGTATTTTGCCCCTGTGCACATACTGTGCGAAATCACGTTTGCAGTCCCAGCGATCAACCAGAGAGGAGGTTTAGGGTGTGTTTACACGACAACAATCTACTACTTAACGGAAGAGTTTTTTTAAAATGTTTTGTGTACAGACTAGAGGGTTGTAAAAACGATCCCTGTTGACACGGATCCACAAAAACTACTAAAAACGCTGTATTATGCATGTCAGTGGTGACACTTTGTAAAGAAACGCATACATGCTTACGTAATATGCATGCGCATAACGTCACCGTTTTCACAAATTTGCGAAGTTTCCAAAAACGTACACTTTGAAGCCGACATGTAAATAAACGGCCAAAATGCATAAAAAGTGTTCCGTTTTTAGTTGAAAATGGTGTCTTGTTCATTTTCTCATATTCTTCTTAAAAACTCCAGAAAATCTAAACTGGAGTTTTGTGGCTTTCTTTTATGGATATACATGGCATTTATGTGCTATGTGTACTCCTACAAACCTATAAAAACACATTTTACAGTATTTTGCTACTGGGAAAACAGAAAATGTCATGCTCTCAAATGCCCTTCTCCTAAAACCACCTGCTACTGACAGCCAGTAGGAAGTAGCAAATCATGGATCATGCCACTGACATAAACTAAAGGCTATTGGATTTTATTTTTTTTAAGGACAAGCCATTTGTCCATCTCCAGCGTCCTGTTTCAATAAGGAATGTCAACACAGGAAAGAAAACCATATAGTCAAGCCATTTTATGGGGTCTTTAAAGTCGTTAAGTGTAGATAAGATTGCAATCACTAGATGTTCTCTCTAAATGACATCTGTAATTCACTGTAAAATAAATTCCGTAAAATTTATGGTAAAAAACCGGCAGCTGTGATTGCTGGAATTTTACCGTAAAAATACGGTAGCAACGTTTTAGGTTTTACGTTTTTAACTTAAATATACAGTTAAATGGAATTTACCGTTAACCATTTAACAGGTTTTTACTGTAGCATTTTTACAGTCTTTTACCGTTAAATTCACGGTCATTTTTTACAGTGTACCCTGGTTAAACGGAAAGGAATAAGCCAAATAAACCGTATTAGCTCCAGAGGATGTGAAGTACAACTACACTCTAAAAATGTTTATCCGCAAGATTGCTGCAAACTTCACAACATGTCTGTGATCCCCAACAATGTGAAGCAGGGCCTGTCCATTCAAGCCCAAATATACTACACCTTTGAGTGGCTTGTGCCATTAACCTCAGACAGCAACAACGAGGTGAGTGCAGCGGTCCAGGCCTGAGGCAGTGACCGTGATGCGACATGTTAGTGAAAGTGACGACCGACTGATACACAGGTGAGTGATTGCAGGTGGATCGTGGGAGTCAGCAGTTGCAGCTCTTTTCTCGCTCCGCCTCCTCCTCGGCGGGGTACAGAACTTTAGCGGTGAGGCCGCTCTTGACCCCATCCCAGCCGTCGCGTGTGGAGATCTCGCCCATCTTCATCAGCTCATAGATGTCCCGTGTGAGCAGCTGGAAAGCACGCTCCACGTTGCTGTTGCACTTGGCTGAAGTCTCCACGTAGCGGATGCCGAGCTCGGCCGCCAGCTGCTCCGCCTCGTCCCGCGTCACCTTGCGGTCGCGGCTCAGGTCGCTCTTGTGGCCGATGAGGATGTAGACCATGTGATGAGGCAGGATGTGCTCGCTGACCTCTCGGTGCCATTCCCGCACGTGATCGAAGGTCTTCCTGTTCATCAGGTCGAAGACTAAGAGGCCGCCCACAGAGTTGCGATAGTAGGAAGTGGTGATGGACCTGACGGGATGAAGAAGACCATATTTTCAAGACTCTTATAATTATATGCACCAAATCACGTCCAGAGATTCTTAGATTCTTGCAGCTGATTTTGAAAGAATATTCCGGGTTCCATTCAAGTTAAGCTCAATTGACAGCATTTGTGGAAGGTTTTGAAAATTATTTCAACTCATCCCTTGTTTTCTTAAAAAAAGAAGCAAGGTTGCAGTGAATAGAAATCATAGAAGTAAATGGGACCAATTTTTTGTGGATTTGAAAGCAGAAATGTGCAACCCGATCTCATGATGTAATTTTAGGAGGTGGTGATTTTGTACGATTCGCACGTGAACATAAGGATTTTAGAAAAAAGTAGGCATGAATCTCCACCTCAAATGTTATATATATATATATATATATATTACAGTTGTTGTTGAACCCAGAATATTCGTTCAATACCCATTTTGTTACTTTGCATATTTAACCTGAAACCAGAAACCACTGAGGCTCCAATTGTAATTCCACGACAGGGAAGATTCCATGAATTAAATACATGAATTAATTTGTATTTATTATTCGTTGCCTAATGGTTAGAGAGTCGGACTCGTATCCCAAAGGTTGCGGGTTCAAGTCTCGTACCGGCAGGGATTGTAGGTGGGGGGAGTGAATGTACAGCGCTCTCTTCCACCTTCAATACCACGACTGAGGTGCCCTTGAGCAAGGCACCGAACCCCCAACTGCTCCCCGGGCACCGCAGCAAAAATGGCTGCCCACTGCTCCGGGTGTGTGTTCACGGTGTGTGTGTGCACTTTGGATGGATATCTAGTGGGCACCTCAGTGTAATTAAATTGAAGGATGGATTTTGCGAGATGTAATGTCCAAGTAACAATAAATTACATTTAAAAAATGAAAAATAATTTAGGCTAATTCATATGATAGTTGCTTTTACGAGATAAACTAACTATTGGGAAAATGCATAAATACATGTATCAGGACAACATTAAACTGCAAAAGAGTGTCCAGGAGGCTAGAAATGAATGCATTCCTTATGTCTTTGTTTATTTTGTGACAATAGCACTGGCACACATTTAAGCAGTGTGTCCATCTATGCTATATAAGTTTTTGCATCTGAAGTGGTGTGTTGTGTCTGACATTGGCCTAATCCATAAACTGTCCTTAATTAAATCAAGTTTAATTATATAGATCATATTCCTGAAACAAATTGTTGAGCAGAGAACTGTGTCCATTTTAACTGTGCATACAGCATACTATCATATCATACGTGCAGTGTGACCAGTCTGATCATTCAGAATATAAAAACAAGAAAGGCTTTTCTGCCGGTTGATTTTTATTTGATGAACGGTTCTTTAAAGCATTGAGGATGGAGGTTTGTTTCTGAAGCCGAGCAGTGCTTGGAAATATAGGGCAAACAGATCAGAGACAGCAGTGACAAAACTAAGCCAAACACATGCTCATCACTGAATCCAAACAGGTGAGGCATGTGATGCTGGAACAAATCAATGAGATGAGCCCGTTTAACTCATTCATAAACGGTGCGCAAGGCCTGTGAACGCCTTCCTGAACGGTAGGAACCCAGCAGGTGAATGACAGAACAGGCATGCACGTACAGAAAGATGACCATATACTACAGTACAGTAAAATACTTATATAAAGGGATAAATAACATACTCTACACAATATCACTCAACCAATAACATCACAATATATATATATATAGTCCATAGCTCTGTGCATGCAGGCATCGCCAGCACGGAGAACATAATAACACAAGACTAACCTGAATCTCTCTTGTCCGGCGGTGTCCCATAGCTGCAGCTTGATTTTAACCCCGGGCTCGATGTCTAGTGAGCGGGCGTAGAAATCCACCCCGACCGTCGGGTCCGCTGCATCGCTGTAGACGCCGTCCGTGAACCTCTTGAGCAAAGATGATTTGCCCACCGTCGAGTCGCCCAGCAAAATGATCCTGAACTGATATTGCCATAAAGTATCCATGGCATGGCGTGTGGAGAGCTCCAGCCACAGGCTCAGAGACAAAGCAGGAGCGCTGTCGGTGTCTACATTGCGTGAATGGAGAGGAGAGGAGAGCTGGATGCGCTGCAGTCATGTGATCACATGCTCACATCTCGACTCTAACTAATGTGTAACTACAACAGATGGACTGAATTACCTTCATTCGAGATCTGCAGGAAGCGAAACCCGTTTTGCAAAATAAGCGTATTTCCTTACATGTGGTTATATAATGCTGTTCCTATTTTAGGTTATACGAGCAGGCCTACATCAGCGTTTGTGGGTTTATGTAATATTTATAAGAAGAAATAAGCCACAAGAAACAGTGAAATACAAGGATTTTAGTAGCTGCTAGTAAACAGTGCGTGAAGCGGAGTAATGGGGGTAAAGTCCATGTAAAGCAAGACTATTGCTCGTATAAAACAGCAATGCTAAAAAAAAAATAAAGTGTTTAATAGTTAATTACATGTATGTTTAATAATAACCGGAGTGAACCATTCATCCTCCAAAAATAGTAGCCTGTAAGAATATCGTTTTTCAATAAAACATTATTAACCCTTTATTATTATTATTATTATTATTATTATTGTTGTTGTTGTTATTGTTGTTATTATTATTATTATCCATATGTGGGTGTGTTGGTATGGATATAGAATCATGCATATAGGCTATGATGTATACATGTAGCCTATATACTGTATATATATATATATATATATATATACACACATATATGATCAGAATCTGGTTTGAGTGCGTGAATGGTACACTGTAAAAAAAAGTCTGTGACATTTACGGTAAAATACCGGCAGCTGTGGTTGCCAGAACTTCACCGTAAAAAATATGGTAG